ATACCAGTAATGAATGACTGGGCTTCCCTCTGCCCCATATTTCAATTAAATATCCCAGAATAATCTTAATTAATCCAGCCAGATATAATTAATCCAGTCAGATATAATTAATCTAATTCGTAACTCGGGATGATTAGACTTAAATAAATTATTCGTCCATTGTTGATATGTTCCTTGGTTAACTACAATTGGGTGATTAGTTATTTATTTGGTATTTAGCATCATCACTACTGCTATTATTACCACCATTACTACCATCTATGCTACCATTACCATCATTTATATCACTGCCACCAATACCACCATCAATACCACCACTACTACCACCATCACCACCACTACCACCAACACCACCAACACCACCACCACCACTACCACCAACACCGCTACCACCGCTACCACCATCACCACCACTTCCACCATCACCACCACTCCCACCAACACCATTACCGCTACCACCAACACCACCACCACCAACACCACCAACACCACCACCACCACCAACACCACCAACACCACCACCACCCACCACCACCAACACCACTATCACCACCACCGCTGCTATCACCCACTACCACCACCACCACCACCACCACCACCACACATACCACCACCACCACCAACTACCACCACCAACCACCACCGTGTCAGGGTAAACCAATACTAGACGGTCGCCATGACAACGATACAGGGAGGGAAGAAGTGAGAAACTGGGAGAAAGAGGAAAGGAGGTGAGGGTGAAATAATTAGGAAAGCTGAAAGGAGAAGGAAGAAGAAGAAGAAGAGAGGGTGAAGAGGGAAGGGGAAGAAAGTTTTAAAATGAGGAAGAGAAAAGTGTGGGGGTTTGGGGGTGAAGAAGATAGAGAAGGAGGAGGTGACATGAGGAAGCTGAGAGTTTGGGGATTTAAGGAAGGGGGAAATGGGAAGAGGGAGAAGTAAGGGGAAGGGAAAAGGGGAAGGGGAGAAATGAGGGGAAAGTAAGGAAGAGTAAAGGGGGAGAAGTAAGGGTAGGAAGTAAGGAGAAGGGGAGGAAGTAAGGGGAAAGGGGGGAAGTAAGGAGAAGGGAAGGAAGTAAAGGGAAGGTGAGGGGAGACAGTAAAGGTTACAACGTGACATTCAATCCGAGTGAGAGAGAAAGAGACAGACAGACAGAGAAGGAATAGCGATAATCTCTTCCACCTCAAATATAAACAAACCCCACGTGTGTCCTCAGAGGGTACTAGGAGGTCACCCACTGTACGTTAGCCTGAAATTGTCAGTAAGAATCATCGACTCCTCTTCAATAGACTAGTAATAGGTTCCCACACAGCGGATTCTAACACGTCATTAAGATAAAGGTCTCCATTAAGCTGACTAAACGTAAGCTTAATGCACCATTGTGTTATATAAAGTGGTATTGGTTTAAGTTAGATCGAATTATATCATATTTTAATGGTGCTTATTTTCTTCATTTGGTTTAGTTCCTTAATGCATATCTCCTCCTCCTCCTCCTCCTCCTCCTCCTCCTCTTCCTCCTTCTTCTTTACCAACCTCCTGTCCTCCTCCTGTTTCTTCCTCCTCCTCCTCCTCCCTCCTCCTCCTCCTCCTCTTTCTTTACCAACCTCCTGCCCTCTTCCTGTTTCTCTTCCTCCTCCTCCTCCTCCTCCTCCTCCTCCTCCTCCTCCTCCTTCTTCTTTACCAACCTCCTGTCCTCTTCCTGTTTCTTCCTCCTCACCTCCTCCTCCTCCTTGGCCTACCTCCTGGTCCTCTTCCTGCTTTCTCTTCCTCCTCTTCCTCTTCCACGAAATGTTAACCAATCAATTGAATTTCTTTGTCAGGAATAATTTAGTGGTGTAAACGCTCTCATCGCTAACTTATTACACATTCTTTCGTTAATCATTATTCTGTGTGTCTGGATTCATTACACGCTTCGTTAAACGCAGGAAATATGTGATATTGAAAAAATTTATTATAAACGTAAGACTCTCATTATCAACACGACATTGACACACCAAACACGGTATTTAAGAATATATTCATTAATTACCCACATTAGATATTTTACCAACACGAACACAGAAGCACCTCCTACCAGATGTTAATTACCTGAGAGCACAGGTGACGAAAACAAACTTTGGCCGAGGTAGTCATGGCAACAGGACATGGAGTCGTAGTTCCACCAACCAGCAGTAAGCATACAAACGCCACAGCTAATTATAAACCACAAACTTAATTAAAGAATGTGTCACTCGTGTGGCTAATTGTGGCTAGCTAGTGTAGTAAGTTAGACGATGGAATAAAATATCTTGTAATATAAACAGCTATCTTGATATCTTTAATTGCTTGGATAAGATATCGCAATAATCGTTTTCTTTCGTTCTCTACACCGTACCATTTTCTTCTTTAGAGTTTTTAAGAGGAATAACTTAAATAATTATGGATGAACAAACACGTAATAAATAAATAACAATAGAATAAGTGTAAATGAGCTTTGGTTAAATATTTTTGTACTATTGTTGTTCCAATGTTAAAGACGTGTGTTTAAACCTCACAATGGCTTCCAAGACGTCAACACTAAGACACTATAAGATTCATTTTCCTCAGTACTTTTCTTTTACTTTGTTTTACACTTGTTTTGCGCCAGTCTCCCCCCCCCCCTTTTTATATGGAAGTAGAGCAACGATAGATAGATAGATAGATAGATAGATAGATAGATAGATAGATAGATAGATAGATAAAACTGATCTGTCTCACCAACTGCTGTCTCTGTACCGTCAACTTCACTGATTGTAGTCATTAAATTTTGGCACTGGTGAACCGTCTGTGTCTATGTCTGTATCTGTAGCTTCATGTCTGTGTCTGTCTGTAGCTTTATGTCTGTGTCTGTGTCTATGGCTTCACGCTATGTCCTTCTACCTCTTCCACATCAACCCCCTTCCATTTCTTCTACACTCCACATCCTCCTTATCCATAGAGAGGGAGAGAGAGAGAGAGAGAGAGAGAGAGGGAGAGAGAGAGGAGAGAGAGAGAGAGAGAGAGACAATAGGTGAGGGAAATAGAAAGAAGAGAGAAAATAAAAGAACGGAGGGGAACATAGAAAACAAAGACTTGACCAAGGACAGACTTAAATAAAACCAACTAACTACCCTAACACACAACAAGAACAACCTCCATTTCTCCTCTGCCTCTACCTTAACACGTCAAACTGCTCTCAGTCTTATTTTATACTTTACCTTTTACAAATAATACCTCACTAGTCGGGAATCGAACCCTTGACCTCCTTACCTTGTTATTACTTACGGGATATATGTCGCTAATTAATGGTCAGTAGTAGACTAAACTGGAGAGACACTGAACACCTGTATAGAATTGTGGAATAATTGGACAGTAATCACAATACCACACAGGTGAGTAACTAACGCATTCATTTATAATAATATCTAAACAATGTAATCCAGGTAGTAAAATAGTATTTCGGTAAGATAAAAAATAATTACATACAGAATGTTGGATAATAATTTGTATATAAAAACCATGATGACTATAGCTGCTTAAAAGGAAGTAATATAACACCTTTTAACAATATAATGTTAAGGTACAAAAGATAACAGATTACCTTGACGATTATGTTAGACCAAAAGAATTTAGCGGGTCAGTCTTGGGTGACTCAGACAACAGGTATTTAGTGGTTGATATTTTATAGGTTAATGATGCATACCTGAGTAATAGTAACTTTAGATAAAACATGCGTGAGGTGTGTGTGTGTGTGTGTGTGTGTGTGTAGTAATATATAGTATTAGTATTACTACTACTAACTACTTATGTATGTGTATATATATATATATATATATATATATATATATATATATATATAAGCAAGTAAATCACTGTAGGTGCAAGGTGATTGCAGAAGAAAGTTGTATACATCTTCAGGGTGAGTACAGACTCATCCCTGAAGATGTGAATTACACGATTCTTTTCTTTTCCTTTTAGTAGCATATATATATATATATATATATATATATATATATATATATATATATATATATATATATATATATATATATATATATATATATATATATATATATATATATATATTATAAGTAGTAGTAATTGTAGTATTGTAGTAGTAGTACTCTCAGTAGTAGAAGTAGTAGTGATCAAGCTGCACCAGACAATTTAACAACTGGTTTCGTGCAAGTAATAAAAAATGCAAGATGCAACGCGTGCAATGTCCCTTTGTAGGTCACCTGGAGTTGGTCTACCTTCTTTAGCACCTGACAGGATATTAGATAAACTGTTATTGTGTAGAATAAACAACATTTACTCTCTCTCTCTCTTTCTCTCACTGGTGTTCAAATGTTTGTTAAGAAACATCTCGCGTCCTGACGTATAAGGTATCAAGATGCAGATATCAAACAACAGAGACAAGACTCTAGCTCGTGCAGTCTCTAAGTTCCATCGTTGTCAAGTTGTTGTTGTTTTACGAGTGAGTGAGTGAGTGCATACCAAGAATAATGGGTATATAAAAAAGAAGAATATAATATGTGCAATGAATGATAAAACTGCGTGCAAGTAGACTAAGTGACAGTATCCCCGTCACCTAATTAACTCCTTGAGAATAATATTAAAAAGCTCACTTTTCTAATTAATTCTCTAAGCTAAAAAAATAAAAAAAAATAAAGAAACGCACACGCCAAATCTTTTACGAGAGGTAGAAATATAATAAAGTTATAAAAGATATTGTCGCGTACGTTTACAAGATGCATGAAACAAAATCGCTGCGATGCCAATATGTAGGAGAGGATTCCAAATAACATTCCCTCGTGTGATATCAAGATGCTTAAGAGAAAAATTAATAAACACTAAACATCCCACGATTGATGTCAAGATGCACAAAAAAACACAAAAAAAAAACATCTCGTGTGGTATTAAAACACAGGAGATAATGTAAACAAAGTGGCCGCTGACGTGCAGAGAGAGAAGACTGATGGGAGGAGGGGTGGTTACCAGCCTACCTTCACATTAACTATATTATTGTTATTATTCTGAATCTGCCGCATACTGTCCCAAGCTTCAGCCTTTGCTTTGATCATTATGTCGGATACGAAACGACGAACGACCTCCATTAATCGCTCGTCTGACCTGATCTTGTCCGCATCTATCACAACCTGTAGGATAAGGTCACTTCAGGTGTTAATACAGGTCAGGTGTATGGGTCAGAGGTCAGGGTAGTTAGGGGGTGTGAGGAGAGGAGGGACACGGGTTGTGGGGTAAGGGGTGATGAGAGGGATTGTGGTTAGGGGTTGGTGAAAGGGATTGTGAGTGGGTTGTAGGTGGGGTTGTGAGAAAGTTGTGGGGTGGGGTTATGTGGGGTGGGGTTGAGGGGAGGGGTTGTGAGGAAAGGTTATGAGAGGGGTTGTGGGGAGGGGTTGTGGGAAGGGGTTGTGGAGACAGGTCGTAAGGAGAGAGGGATGAGAGGGAGGGAGTGGGATTGATTTAATTAGGTCATTGATGGGGAGTAATTTACAGAATGATTCAGTGTTAAGAATTCAGTATGATGATGATGATGATGGTGATGATGATGATGATGGTGATGATGATGATGATGATGGTGATGATGGTGATGATGGTGATGGTGATGGTGATGATGGTGATGATGGTGGTGATGATGATGATGATGATGATGATGATGATGATGATGGGTAAACAGGATGATAATTTAATACATTGCGTATGATGATTTAGCGTTCTGAGGAAGGCTAATGGTTTAATCCATTTGAAATTTATGGTTTAGCCCTACGAGGATGAATGGTTTAACCCTTGGAAATTAATGGTTTAATTCTTTGTTATTGATGGTTTAACCCTTTGAGAATGATGGTTTAACTCTTTGAGAATGATGGTTTAACCCCTTGAGAATGATGGTTTAACCCTTTGAGGATGATGGTTTAACCCTTTGAGAATGATAACTTAAGGTTCTATTGACTGTAAGAGCATTAAAAAATTTGAAATCCCCAAAGACTTAAACCACCATCCTCAAAGAGTTAAACCAACATCATCAGATTAGTTATAAACTACGGTTAAGTGTACAACAAGAGGGATAAATTTTTTTTCGGAAATTTCTCATTATTTTTTTGCCATAGTTTAATGTTTTCTCACAGTAACGCTTTCATTTATATTTTTGGGGACTTAGACACAGACACAGACACATACTGACAGACACAGACATACTGACAGACACAGACACATACTGACAGACACAGACATACTGACAGACACACACACATACTGACAGACACAGACACATACTGACAGACACAGACATACTGACAGACACACACATACTGACAGACACACACACATACTGACAGACACAGACATACTGACAGACACACACATACTGACAGACACAGACACATACTGACAGACACAGACATACTGACAGACACACACATACTGACAGACACAGACACTGACAGACACAGACATACTGACAGACACAGACACATACTGACAGACACAGACATACTGACAGACACACAGACACATACTGACAGACACAGACATACTGACAGACACACACATACTGACAGACACACACATACTGACAGACACACACACATACTGACAGACACAGACACTGACAGACACACACACATACTGACAGACACACACACATACTGACAGACACAGACACATACATACTGACAGACACACACACATACTGACAGACACAGACACATACTGACAGACACAGACATACTGACAGACACACACACATACTGACAGACACAGACACATACTGACAGACACAGACATACTGGACACACACACACATACTACTGACAGACACACATACCGGACAGACACACACATACTGACAGACACAGACACATACTGACAGACACAGACATATTGACAGACACAGACATACTGACAGACACACACATACTGACAGGGCACAGACATACTGACAGACACAGACATACTGACAGACACACACATACTGACAGACACAGACACACACTGACAGACACAGACATACTGACAGACACACACATATTCGACAGACACAGACATACTGACAGACACAGACATACTGACAGACACAGACATACTGACAGACACAGACATACTGACAGACACAGACACATACTGACAGACACAGACATACTGACAGACACACACATACTGACAGACACACATACTGACAGACAGACATACTGACAGACAGACATACTGACAGACACACACATACTGACAGACACACATACTGACAGACAGACATACTGACAGACAGACATACTGACAGACACAGACATACTGACAGACACACACACATACTGACAAACACACACACATACTGACAGACACACACACATACTGACAGACAGACACACACATACTGACAGGGTCATTTTTCACTCTATTCAGTTCTTCAGTAAATAAGTTGATCTGATCTTGAAAATACTTAAGGTTTAACTGGTAATATTCCTTAACATTTTCCTCATAGATTTTACTTAAGAAAACTCAAACTAACTTTTTTTTACTTGTCTGTAATTCTTATTTTTTCGTTGTTCTAGGACAGGCAACTAGAAATATTAATTACTAGCCTGCGGTCAACAATTACTATCCTTCTCACTAGCCTGCGGTCAATTTCTATACTTATTACTAGCCTACGGTGACCTATTACTAGTCTGCGGTCAACAATTACTATCCTCATTGCTAGCCTGTGGTCAACAATTACTATCCTCATTACTAGCCTGTGGTCAACAATTACTATCCTCATTACTAGCCTGCGGTCAACAATTACTATCTTATTACTGGTCTGCGGTCAACAATTACTATCCTCATTACTAGACTGCGGTCAACAATTACTATCCTCATTACTAGCCTGTGGTCAACAATTACTATCCTCATTACTAGCCTGCGGTCAACAATTACTATCTTATTACTGGTCTGCGGTCAACAATTACTATCCTCATTACTAGCCTGCGGTCAACAATTACTATCCTCATCACTAGCCTGCGGTCAACAAGCAATCTCCCTTTATAAGATGTGGCAATAACTGGTCACCTCGGCTTCTGTCTTCCTACAGGAACCTTAATTGGTAAGATAGTTCTTTCGTATTTATTTCTGTCTTTTTCTGATCTTTAGTCCCGGCAGAGTTCTATTTCAGAGAGAGACAAACAGACAGGGAAAGACAGAGTGAGGAAAGACAGACAGACAGACAGACAGACAGGGAAAAGACAGAGTGAGTGAAAGACACAGAAAGACAAAGAGAGAGAGAGAGAGAGAGAAAGACAAAGAGAGAGAGAGAGAGAGAGAGAGAGAGAGAGAGAGAGAGAGAGAGTTAAAGACAGAGAGACAGGCAGACAGAGAGAGTTAAAGACAGAGAGACAGACAGACGGAGAGAGCAACAGGAGCATACACAAACAGAGAGAGAGAGATAAAGAGAGAGTGAAAGAGGGAAAGAGAGAGAGAGAGAGAGAGAGAGAGAGAGAGAGAGAGAGAGAGAGAGAGAGAGATTGCTATAATCCAACACTTAATAACTTTTTTTTTTCAGGTGCCTCTCACTCAGGTGTTCTTACTGAGAGTCTAATTAACCTGCCAGAACTTCCAACAAGGTGAGTAATGTTTCCACCTATACAACATGGCGAACTCCTTACTGCACACACATAATTATATTTTATTCTAATTCCCGGACTTTCCTTTAGAAACAGGTGTCGAGAGCCGATTGGATATATACATCTCATCATCTCCTTAACTTCGCTCGTTCTACCCCAAGGCAGTATTCCCAGTCCATTCATTTGTAATAAGGTATGAAGCTCTCTCTCTCTCTCTCTCTCTCTCTCTCTCTCTCTCTCTCTCTCTCTCTTCTCTCACTTTCTTTCTTTCTTTCTCCTCTCTCTTTTAAGCTCTACAGATGGGGAATTCTTTTACTTTAAACAACCATTACCTTTTTTTTTTAATTTTCAAATATGTTTAATGTTTTACGTTCTGTGTTCAAGAGGTTCTATACTGCCTTTGTTGTCACTTCTGCTTCCTTCAGTCGACCCAAACTCCGTTACATTATTACCAAGCCTGACCATTCTCCCGCTGAGTCAGGCCTTGAAGCGTGTACACTGGGGGAGGTATTGACTCTTCCGGGAACTCGCTGAAAGGATTTTGTATACAACGGGACGTGAATCACAGCTGTTATATCACAAGATTTGCTTCTTGGTGTTGTTAAAAGCTGACCTGAGTAGATCATTAGTCAAGAGAAGATTTTTTTTTAAGTCGAATCGTCAATTAATATTATTTTAACCGGATTGTTGTACCTGGGAACTAATTATAGATATATTAGATTAGTGTATGTAATTGGTATTATATCTAACACTCCCTGGTTATTATTTCACCTTAAAGCAATATCTAGATTAGCTTTCCCTTAAAAATAACAAAGAAAATGGGAGGAAAGTTTTCGTAGATCTATCTTCTTAATTAAAAGGTAAAAGTTAGCTATAGTAGATAATGAATTAGTTAGCCTAATCACTAGTTAACTCTCTCTCTCACTCTCCTTACCTTACCACTAACCCCATATCTCATTAATTCCATATACAATAATAATCGATTTTATTGAAAGAATGAAAAAGGATCACAAGTACAGTATTTAGGCGATAAAAGACCATAGGAAAGGTTTAATGAGACGTTGGGTCTGTGAGAAACAATCTAAAACGAACAAAGAAAACGACGATTGACACTTCCTTCCTGGGGCAACTAACCTAATCCAGCTTATTGTATAGTAAGCATCTGTAAGGACGATCCACCCAGTATCTTGTGTACAAACTTCCATCCGTGTGAGCTGGTCTTCCTCAACACGCCAAACGAACCACATGTTTGTTACACTTTGATGATGATGATGATGATGATGATGATGATGATGATAATGATGTTTTAACTCTTTCACAACGATTATTGAACCTTTGACGACGACGATGTGGCGAACACAATTTTTTTACCAACAACTTATGACATTAAAAAAAAGGCAACTAAACTTTATAATATTTTTACCCTTTATAGAAAAATGGTTTAGGTTATAACCCTTTAAGAACGAGGGTTTAACTTATAACCCTTAAAGAAGATGGTTTAACATAGAACCCTTAAAGACGATGGTTTAACCTACAGTATTTTCAGGGCCATTTTTTTTAGCTTAACCCTCAAGAAATTAAACCATCTTCCTCAGAGGGTTAATTAAAAACATGCACAAACAACGCAAAGTATTTAGAAACTCTTCGGTAATTGCAAGGCGAAATAAGTTACAGTGAAACCTCTATTTAACGGACTATAGAGAGAAGAAAGTCCGTTATATCGAAGGTCAGGTAGATATGAAACCTCCATCTAACGAACTACATAGAGATGAAAGTCCGTTATAACGAAGGTCAGTTAGATAATTATGAAACCCCCATCTAACGGATTATATAGAGAAAAGTCCGTTATATGGAGGTTATACTGTCCGTTAATTTAGTCTTCAGGTAAATTTTGCTTACAAGGTGGGAAAAGATTAATATTTACTCACCTGTCTTGAAAAAAAATCAAAAATTCTAAAAAATTTCGTCATGCAGAGAATTAAAATATATCAGACATTATACACAATTATATTAAGTATAACTATATAAAAAAGTAGCGTTATATATCTTGAGTATATTTGGTGAAAAAGTAATAACAAATTCCATCAAAATTCTTAATTATGGAGGATAAAGGTAAAGTAAAGTCTACCAAATTCACTGTAAATATCTGTCAAAAAAGTATTAAAAAATTACTAAAGTACGTCTATAATATATCAGCGAAAAATAACAATAATAAATAGCAAAATACAACTAGAATAACCAGTCCCCAAAAATAGCAACTGTAACAAAAAATAAATATTGTTGCAAACTAAAAAAATAAGGGCCAAAAAAAATAGTTCAAAATAGCCACAAGATCCAGCGAGAGAAAAATACGAATAAAAAGTCATAATTTACCTTGTCAGTCGCGAGGTCTTTCTTGGTTGCTTCCTCTTGTGCCTTAGTTAGTATGTCTTTGACGAACTGGTTAGCCACGTTCAGGAGTACAGGGTCTGCTGGGGACTTAACTTCACCGTCCAAAAGTTTCTCAGAGTCCTGGGGGCTGCTGGCGGGGAGAAAACAAGAGGGAGATCTGGGGATAAGGCACTGAGAATGTGAGAGACGAATGTGGTGTTTACTGCCTTTTGGGGGGAGGAAGGAAGGTAGGGAGGGAGGAGAGGGAGGGAGGAGGAGGGAGGAGGGAGGGAAGGAGGGAGGGAAGGAGGGAGGGAGGGAGGGATGGAGATGTGAGTGAATATTAGGTAGAAGGAAGGAAGGAAAGAATAGAAGGAATGAAAAATAGTCAGGATATCTTAATGAATCTGAAAACATGAATACTCCTTTTGTTATGATGTAATGGGATTATATACATACGTTCTTGAATGTATAGGAAGAACTTATGAATACTGAGAATGTATACTCTTAAAAAAATAATATAATTCTTACTTCTATAGCTGTATAATGAAGGAAATTAATTATATGAAGGAATTATAAAACACTCTTATGGGATTATAGAGAACTCGTGAATGAAATAATTATACACATTATAATATAAGACATTAAAGGATAAAAAAACCAGTTTACATGACATGAAGAAACTTAGAGGATTAATGAAAGAATAAACATAAAATTATTCACGACACTACAGAACTGAAGGAGGAATATGATATAATACAAAACGTGCGATTATGTATGATGTATAAGTATATCTGACCATACATAATGTCTGTGTTTGTCTTTAGAGGAAAATAATGAAATCCAATGAAACTGAAATTAGGGTCGTTGGTTGTGTGAAGGTTACAGGAGAGAGAGAGAGTGACACCTAGATACAGACATACATTCAGAAGGCCACAGACCATAACAAACAAACAAACAAACACACAATTAGAAGACACACAAACGAACAAACATTCAGAAAGCCACAGACGCGGAGACAATCAGAAGGCCAAGACATATACACAATCAGAACACGACAAACAGACACACATACACGCACACAATCAGAACATCACAAACAGACACACATACACAGTCAGAAGATCACAAACACCTTACAACATAAATAAAACCAAAATGTTTTAGCCAAAAAATCACACAAACAAACACAACCAAACGAAAATTTATGACATCCAACAATAACATAATTTATTAAACCAAATACATCCATACATACAAGCGCTTTCTTTCCCTCTCATACACTGTTCTTCATCCATACATTCGTTACATCATTCATTGGTAATATCTCCTCTCTCACACACACTTCTATTCTACCACCACACACCCTCTCTCATACTTTCATACACTCTCCCACACACACACCCTTTTCCACAGTCTCCCACACACACACACACACACACACACACACATATACACTTTCTCAATATACACACTCTCCACACACACACACACACACACACACACACACACACACACACACACTCTGCCAACACACACACACACACACACACACACACACACACACACTCTGCCAAACACACACACACACACACACACACACACACACACACACACACACACACACACCTACTCTCCCTCTCTCACCTGCAGGAGGCGTCACAGGAGAAAAGGTTCTCAGACTCTGACTTAGAACGCAGGAAGGAAGCGATGGAGGACGCCATGTTTGGGTCAGCCTCCCCGTTCTCCATCACCAACCCCGTGTACGATGATGACCTTCCGAGGACACGAGGTCAAGAGGTCAAGGGTGGAGGGACACGAGGTCAAAGGGTTAAGGGTGAGGGGACATTAGGTCAAGCGGTCAAGAGTTAAGGGTGAGGGGGACATGACGTCAAGGGAGGGGGGACACGAAGTCAAGAGGTCAAGGGTGAAGGGGACATAAGGTCAAGAGGTCAAGGGCAGGGGAAAACGAGGTCAAGAAGTCAAGAGGAAGGTCAAGAGGTCAAGGATGGGAACACGAGAACAAGAGGTCAAGGGTGAGAGGACACGAATTCAAGGGTGGGGGGAACATGAGGTCACGAAGTCAAGCGGTCAAAATTCAAAGAATAAATCGCAGGTTAGGTCAGGTTAGGTCAGGTTAGGTCAGGTTAGATCAGGTTAGGCTAAGAGATAATTAAAGGAGTTTGACTAGGTAGTAACTGAAGATCATCTTTATAAAATAATAAAGTGAAAATATTTAATTAAGGTCAAAGGTCAAATATAATAAGGACGTGAAGTAGTAATTAAAAGTGAAGGTCATTAATTACGGTATAATTAACTAATAGTAATTAATGTCTCGGGATAAGGATTAACTCGGGGTTACAGAATATTGGTAATAAAATTATAAAACTACTTCTACAAGGTATTACTTTTACTACTTTTGTATCAGGAGTTGTTTATCCTCTTTAATAACATGTATATCAGTATAATTTTTGGTCATATAAATACTGAAACATGAGAAAAAAAAATAAATAATAATAATAATAATAATAATAATAATAATAATAATAATAATAATAACTATGGTGGAAATTATACCTGTGTGTCATTACTACAGGTAACAAGACAATTAACCTCAGCACACCTGCATAACAATAACCCACACCTGCCCTTAATATCTCCCTCAGGTGTGTTCTGCTAACATCAGAAGCCAACAGACACACCATCCGCCTTGTAACCTGTACCTGTAGTAGCCTTGTAACCTGTACCTGTAGTAGCCTTGTAACCTTTACCTGTAGTAGCCTTGTAACCTGTACCTGTAGTAGCCTTGTAACCTGTACCTGTAGTAGCCTTGTAACCTGTACCTGTAGTAGCCTTGTAACCTGTACCTGTAGTAGCCTTGTAACCTTTACCTGTAGTAGCCCTTGTAACCTGTACCTGTAGTAGCCTTGTAACCTGTACCTGTAGTAGCCTTGTAACCTGTACCTGTAGTAGCCTTGTAACCTGTACCTGTAGTAGCCTTGTAACCTGTACCTGTAGTAGCCTTGTAACCTGTGTAAGACAACCTTAACTTTTGCTAAACCTGGTGTGTGTCTCTACCACCTGGCCACCAGCTGACTCGTGTACAGGCTTCAGACACTATCGAAAGGAATCCAAACCTGCCAGATGGTGGTCTTTGGGAACGTGTGTGTGTGTGTGTGTGTGTGTGTGTGTGTGTGTGTCCCACTTTACTGAGACAAAAGCAATTTCGATCTAGACAGAGTAACGCTAAGATCTCTCTCTCTCTCTCTCTCTCTCTCTCTCTCTCTCTCTCTCTCTCTCTCTCTCTCTCTCTCCACTAAGGCCATGACACAGCACCACACGTCTGACCTCGTCTGCAGGTGTTTTGTGAGGCGCGTTTGTCTGTGTGTTGTGAGGGAGGGAGGAAGGGAGGAAGGGAGGGAGGGAGGGAAGTTCTCACCTTCTATAAAATCAAATCACCACCATGACCACTATTACCACAATACAACTACCACCACTACCACCATCACCACCAGTACCATCATCGCCATTACCACTATCATCACTACTACCGCCATACCCATACGTATACTCACCTTCTAGGCATATTTAGGGGTAAAGTCAATCCTAACCCACGATTACCACCACCAATACCACCACTACCAGTACCACCACCACTCCCACCACCAGTACCCAACAGAGGGGCACGTTCATCAGGTTCATCGTCTTCCTCGTCCTCCTTCACACCATCCACAAGCACCACCGCCCGATTTACGTCGATGTAGGGCGTCGTCGTCACCGTTGTCGCCGCCGTCGTCTGGGTGTCGTGGTGGTGTTGGTGGTGGAAGTCATACTGGGTCGTCTGGGAGCCTTGGAGGGGAGGTTCCGTCACCATCGAGGAGCCAATGACATCCTCTGGTTGTTCCCATAGAGGTGTGTCAATGGCTATCGCGGGATCTGTGGGTGAGATAGACAGTGAGTGAGTGAGTGTGAGTAATATGAGAGAGAGAGAGAAAAGCGAATGATTATGTAAGTATTTAATGTAAACTAAAGAAGAAATAATTAATCTTTCTTTATTTACACACCTTAACACCCCACAACACAGCCACACCTCAACACCCCACAACACAGCCACACCTTAACACCCCACAACACAGCCACACCTTAACACCCCACAACACAGCCACACCTCAACACCCCACAACACAGCCACACCTAACACCCCACAACACAGCCACACCTTAACACCCCACAACACAGCCACACCTCAACACCCCACAACACAGCCACACCTCAACACCCCACAACACAGTGTTACGACCGTGTCGTATTTTTTCTATTTTTTTATATATAACATGCTCCCATGTTCCATATTATTCCTGTAATGATGTGTTAAATTTACTATTATATATTCTAGTCACCTTACCCTGTGCTGTTAAGGTTTTAACTGTCATTATTTGTTCAAGTCCATCTTATTTCTTTATTTTGTATTGTAACCAGCATTCTTTGTTCTCTAACGACCATCTGCATCGTTAAACGACCCACCGGCGGGTCGCGTGGCGGGAGCCGACCTTATATATAGGACCCACCAACTGACTTGAGTCAGTTCAGTCCTCTTGTCATACAGTACACATCCTTTGAGTGTCACTTGTTACTTATACTTAATTTATTTGTGTTGTTCCTGTCGCCACCAATGTGGTATATCTATGTGAGTACCTATTTATGTCTCTGTTTGTGTCCATCAGTATTTGCTTAGTTGTATTCAAGTAATTCAGTGTTGTTTCACGTTAGTTAATTTCAGTGATAGTTTTTATATGTTTATGCAGTGTTAACGTAATCCAATGCTTTATTTTTATTCTTTTGATGTTTCGATGTTTTGTATCATTTGTGTCTTAAAAGTTTCGATGGTGAATCAATTTGTTGTGACAGCCTACGAGGCTCTTTATTGTGTTAATATTTAATCAATTAAATTCTTAAAGGTTTACTTTATTTATTTTTATTCTTTTAATTTACTTCACTTTTTGTTTGGTTACGCCTAGAACCTGGATATTTAAGTAAATTAAGAGACGGCGTAACAACAGCCACACCTTAACACCCCACAACACAGCCACACCTTAACACCCCACAACACAGCCACACCTCAACACCCCACAACACACCACACCTCAACACCCCACAACACAGCCACACCTCAACACCCCACAACACAGCCACACCCACCCACAACACAGCCACACCTTAACACCCCACAACACAGCCACACCTAACACCCCACAACACAGCCACAGATCAACACCCTACAACACAGCCACACCAACATCCCGCCAACACAGCCACACTCAACATCCCACAACACAGCCACACCTCAACACCCCACACACAGCCACACCTCAACACCCCTACAACACAGCCACACCCCAACACTCCCACAACACAACACATCTCAACACCCCACCAACACACAGCCACACCTCAACACCCCACAACACAGCCACACCCTCAACACCCCACAACACAGCCACACCTTAACACCCCACAACACAGCCACACCTCAAAACCCCACAACACAGCCACACCTAACACCCCACAACACAGCCACACCTTAACACCCCACAACACAGCCACACCTCAAAACCCCACAACACAGCCACACCCTAACACCCCACAACACAGTGCCACACCTTAACACCCCACAACACAGCCACACCTCAAAACCCCACAACACAGCCACACCTTAACACCCCACAACACAGCCACACCTTAACACCCCACAACACAGCCACACCTTAACACCCCACAACACAGCCACACCTCAACACCCCTCAACACAGCCACACCTCAACACCCCACAACACAGCCACACCTCAACACTACACCACCATTTCTATGCAAGTTATCTCAATAAAAATACTCTTATGTAAGTAAAATCCGTCTTCATTTGCGCTCCACAACTGAGATAGGCTTGCGTCAAGGCCGTTATCACAAATAAAGTCAAAATTCAGTTGCTAACCGAATTTAGATGTTTTATATTAGTTTTTGCTTATAACAATGCATTTTCTATCATGCTATTTTCATAGAAAACATTGTAAACCGCCTTCAGGGTAGACTATAATTTTATCTCGGGGACTATTTTTTTTTTTTTTTTACTAAAGATCTGAAACATTTACCAAGTGTGTTTAATTGTTAGTTGTGCTTCCATGCAAAATTTTAGGTATCTATGATAAACAGCTTATGGACACACACACACACACAGTGGGAATAATTCTACGAGGGTTGTTTAAAATGTTGGGAAAACTTTCTTGAAGAGAGTTTGAAGGCCTCTGATTCGCTCTTGTTGACGAGTTCCGCCCGAATTACTTAGATCAAAGTTATTTAATACGTTAAAATTGGCTTCCGTAGACCTACAAATTGAGTTAGATATTCCTTAATGAAGGCTTGAAGTGACTCACATGAAATTTACTTCAAAAAATCACATTCTAAACTTAAAGTTATTTAACGGAAGGATAACAGATTGTTTGAGAATTGGTTACTTTAAATCTTCAAATAGGGTAAATATCATCAAATTAGAAACAGAGATAGTGAAGAAATTGGTAGGTAAACACTGCAAATAGGCCAGAAATGGGTTAATTTTGTTGAGTTTGGTCAGATCATCACCAGAACGGGATGTGAGAATTTATAACCCGTGAAGTGAAAACATCCTTCCGTTTAGCTTATCTGTTCTGTCAACACTGACGTATTTAGGTGTTCTAGTGTGTAAGGTAGCTCTCTCTCTCTCTCTCTCTCTCTCTCTCTCAGGCCGGTAAGGGCACAGGTAATTAGCCATTACTTCCGCCAGGACAGGTAATTCTCAGGTGTTGACTCCCGGAGCTTGATGACTGAGCCTTAATCCCCAGTGAACCAGCTCCTCCCTGCCCTCCCTCCCTCATTCCTCCCCCCCTTGCTCCGGTTGCTCACTCCCCTCATTCTCAAGGTGCTCCTTCCCGCCTCCTAGCTGTGTGTATTGCACAGTTGTGACGATTAATTAGTACAGAGGTGTAACGCTGGTGTGACGGGTAATTAATATGAAAGTGCGACGTTAATTATACGAAGTGGTGTGACGGAGGTGAGACGGAGGTGTGACGGAGGTGTTATAGAGGTGTGACAGGTGTGACGGAGGTGAGACGGAGGTGTTATAGAGGTGTGACAGAGATGTGACAGGTGTGACGGAGGTGTGACGGAGGTGAGACAAAGGTGTTATAGAGGTGTGACAGGTGTGACAAAGGTACTACAGAGGTGTGACAGACGTGTGACGGAGGTGTGGCAGAGGTGTGACGGAGGTGTGACAGAGGTGTGACGGGTAATATACATTGAGGGTTTTAGCTTAATTAACACTATACCTATAACCCCCCCCCCCCACACACACACTATACCCACTGTGGCCTTACAGCTAACTATGCGCTGTTTACCTACAATAAACTGTTTCCCGGAGCCACAGGAATTATTAATAACAGTTTACCTGGAAGCTGCAGGCAATGGTACACTGTGTCGTATTTAACTTGGTGACAGTGTACAGTGTCTACCTGTTGTCTACCTGTTGTCTACCTGTTGTCTACCTTTCGTCTACCTTTCGTCTACCTGTTGTCTACCTTTCGTCTACCTTTCGTCTACCTGTTGTCTACCTGTTGTCTACCTTTCGTCTACCTGTTGTCTACCTGTTGTCTACCTTTCGTCTACCTGTTGTCTACCTGTTGTCTACCTTTCGTCTACCTTTCGTCTACCTGTTGTCTACCTGTTGTCTACCTTTCGTCTACCTGTTGTCTACCTGATGTCTACCTTTCGTCTACCTGTTTACCCGTTTATTAATTGTTGACATTGCTTTCCTGTTTACATTATAGATCCTAATTATCATTATTATTATTATCATTATTATTATTATTATCATTAGTAATAGTAGTAGTAGTAGTAGTAGTAGTGTTAGTAGTAGTAGCAGGATATACAGTAAAATATAACGAGGTGAGGCTTGAAGCAGTTATTTCATCTGAAGTGATTGAAAATGATAAGGAAATTAAGTTACGGAAAATAACTGGAATATTTCGGGATTTTTATTTTTTTATCATTTACGTGACGACACAAACGTAAAACATTCAACTATTCCACAATATTTTCTTTTACTTATTTTTATTTCTCTCTCTCAAAAAAAATAATCGCTATCATTTTCCATCATTGAGAAGAAAGAAAGAAAGAAAGAAAGAAAATCCTCTACTGGTTCATTCAAATCAAAATGGAGTTTGCATCCTTGACATTAATTAAGGAATATATATATACAGGTGTAGTGTAAATTATACCTGTCCGTCTCTATCCTTACCCCCTGTCCTTCCGTCCATCTTCCGTCTCTATCCTTTCCCCCTGTCCTTCCGTCCATCTACCGTCTCTATCCTTTCCCCCTGTCCTTCCGTCCATCTACCGTCTCTATCCTTTCCCCCTGTCCTTCCGTCCATCTACCGTCTCTATCCTTTCCCCTGTCCTTCCGTCCATCTACCCGTCTCTATCCTTTCCCCTGTCCTTCCGTCCACCTTCCGTCTCTATCCTTTCCCCCTGTCCTTCCGTCCATCTTCCGTCTCTATCCTTTCCCCTGTCCTTCCGTCATCTTCGTCTCCTCCTTTCCCCTGTCCTTCCGTCCATCTCGTCTCTATCCTTTCCCCTGTCCTTCCGTCCATCTACCGTCTCTATCCTTTCCCCCTGTCCTTCCGTCCATCTACCGTCTCTATCTTTTCCCCCTGTCCTTCCGTCCATCTACCGTCTCTATCCTTTCCCCCTGTCCTTCCGTCCATCTACCGTCTCTATCCTTTCCCCCTGTCCTTCCGTCCATCTACCGTCTCTATCCTTTCCCCCTGTCCTTCCATCCACCTTCCGCTTCTATCCTTTATATACTCTGTTGACATCTATCACAGCCAATGGTAATGCGTGTTGAGTGTAACTTGATTATGTTTGGCGGTTGATGCAGGTGTTGGCGAGCGAGGATGTTTTCTTATTGGTTATTGAATGAATCTCTCTCTCTCTCTCTCTCTCTCTCTGTGGCCACCCATTACTCACTCGTATCCAAGGGATTCTCCTCATCCGTGGGTGTTGAAGCACTGAAGCTGAGCATAGGCAGGATGTGGCCATGATGAGTGCGGCCCTGGTGAATGTGGCCCTGGTGGGTGTGGCCCTGGTGGGTGTGGCCATGGGTGTGGGTGGAATCCTCGTCCCGATGCCCGTTGACGACCGTAGACATGATGTGGCCTGTAAGAAGAAGATGGCGGATGAATGATAGAGGGAGAGAGAGAGAGAGAGAGAGTTACATCATCGTCATTAAAGGGTTAAATCATCGTCATTAAAGGGTTAAATCATCGTCATTAAAGGGTTAAATCATCATAATCGTCAAAGGGTTAAACATCGTCTCCCCCGTACCCCCCTGACCCCCTCCACTATAATACACCCTTAATACCCTGGCTTAGGTCTTGACTCACGGAAGACTGAGTCTGACCTGATGAGCGGGGGCCAAGGACTGGAGGAGAGAGACGGGAGGAGGAGAGAGACGGGAGATAGAGAGAGACGGGAGGTAGAGAGAGACGGGAGGTAGAGAGAGACGGGAGGTAAAGAGAGACGGGAGGTAGAGAGACGGGAGATAGAGAGAGGGAGGAGGAGAGAGACAGGAGGTGAGAGAGACGGGAGGATAGAAGACGGGAGATGAGAGAGACAGGAGATAGAGAGACGGGAGATAGAGACGGGAGGTGAGAGGGCAGGGAGATAGAGGGGAGCGGGAGATAGAGACGGGAGGGAGAGGAGAGACGGGAGATAGAGAGAGAGACGGGAGATAGAGACGGGAGGTGAGAGAGAGACGAGGAGGAGGAGGAGAGAGACAGGAGGTAGAGAGACGGGAGGAGAGAAGACAGGGAGGTAGAGACGGGAGATAGAGACAGAGGGAGGTAGAGAGGGAGCAGGAGATAGAGAGAGACGGGAGACGGGAGGTAGAGAGAGACAGGAGGAGGAGAGACAGGAGGTAGAGAGACGGGAGATGAGAGAGACGGGAGATAGAGAGAGACAGGGAGATAGAGACAGGAGATAGGGAGACAGGGAGGTAGAGAGAGAGGCGGAGATGAAGAGAGGGCAGGAGATAGAGCAGGAGATGAGAGAGGGAGATAGAGAGAGACGGGAGATAGAGAGACGGGAGGTAGAGAGACGGGAATAGAGAGAGAGACGGAGATGAGAGAGACGGAGATAGAGACGGGGAGGTGAGAGAGACGGGGAGGTGAGAGACGGGAGATAGAGAGAGACGGGGAGGTAGAGAGAGACGGGAGATAGAGAGAGGTGGGGGAGGGGAGATGAGACGGGAGATGAGAGAGACGGGAGATAGGGGAGGAGGTGAGTGATGGGGAGGAGGTAGAGGTGATAGGGAGGGTAGTGATAGGGAGGAGGTGGTGATGGAGGTAGTGATGAGGAGGAGTAGTGATGGGAGGAGGTGGTGAGGAGGGAGGAGGTAGTGATAGGGGAGGAGGTAGTGATGAGGAGGAGGTAGTGATAGGGAGGAGGTAGTGATAGGGAGGAGGTAGTGATAGGGGAGGAGTGATAGGGAGGAGGTAGTGATAGGGAGGGGAGGTGGGTGATAGGGGAGGAGGTAGTATAGGGAGGAGGAGGTAGTGATAGGAGGAGGTAGTGATAGGGAGGAGGTAGTGATAGGGGAGGGAGGAGGAGGGAGGAGGTAGTGATAGGGGAGGAGGTAGTGATAGGGAGGAGGTAGTGATAGGGAGTAGGTAGTGATAGGGAGGAGGTAGTGATAGGGGAGGAGGTAGTGATAGGGGAGGAGGTAGTGATAGGAAGGAGGTAGGGTGATAGGGGAGGAGGTAGTGATAGGGGAGGAGGTAGTGATAGGGAGGAGGTAGTGATAGGGAGGAGGTAGTGATAGGGAGTCAAGGGACATAGATAGAGAGATAGAGACAGGACATAGAGATATAAACAAGACATTGAGACAGTCACTGGAAGGGAGAATGTTGAGAGACAGACAGACATATAGACAGACATAGGGTAATATTAAGACAAACAGCAAGACACACAAACAGACAGACAGACTGACAGACTTGCAAATCAATATATTCTACCAACTCCTCCCTCCCACCCCCACCCCATACCCCAGTCCCACCCCTCCCCACCCCCCCCACCCCCACCTCCTTCCCCACCCTCACCCCATCCCCACCCCCAACCCCTCCCCCCTTCCCCCTCCCCCCACTTCATACCCTGAGGAGGGTGGAGCACTAAAATGACTCACATGAATGCATTAAGTTCTTTGTTTACCAAGTGTACTCTCCAGAACCAGTACCACGTGCATCCAGAAAGTGCCGCAACCACACACACACACACACACACACACACACACACAACACAAATACAGATTGACGTCAGTATTTCACCACAATCAGATAACAGAAACAATCAGAAAACTCGGAATAACAACACTCAGATTAACAGACGGACAATAAAACAAACAAAACAGACAATCAGAACGAAACAAAAACAAAAAGAAAAATAATAAATGATTAAAGTGACGTAAAAACCGACAAACAGACAGACAGACAGACAGACAGACAGACAGACAGACAGACAGGCAGGCAGACAGACAGACAGACAGACAGTGACAGACAACAAAAAATAGCTAAGACAGTAACATACACACATACCTATATATATATTTTTTTCTTGTTTTTTTTGTGTTTTATCTTTTTCTTTTTCCTAGGGAGCAGAGATGGAAATGATGTGCGAATGAGATCAAAGGTTCGGGGTTTGTGAATAACAACTCAGGTGGCCGAATACTTTAGGACTGATTCACATTGTGTCGTCTAGGTGTAAGGGGAGAGGAGGGTGTTTTAGGGTAGGTGGAGGGGGAAGGTGGGTAGGCGGGGTGGGGTGGGGTGGGTGAGGGAAAAGGGAAGGGATGAGGGTAGGTGTGGGGGGTGGGTGGAGAAAAGGAAGGTGAGGATAGGTGAGAGGGGTGGGTAAAGGGAAGGGGTGAGGATAGGTGAGGATGGTAAAGGGAAGGGGTGAAAAGTGAGCGAAGATTAATGAACACTGAACGATATCTAAGGAGACTGATATCAACAAAATGACGTGTAGGGAGGCTGGGTTATGAGGAATTATTTTTGTTCGTGTGTGTGTGTGAAGGTGACGTGGTGAAAATGGTCTCTCTCTCTCTCTCTCCCACAACCCTCCCTCTCACACCAGACTGCCCAAGGTCACTAACTAACTCGTATGATTTATAAATTAAAATTCCACCTTTTAATTTTAGTCTCTGATGGAGAGCCGTGTGTGTGTGTGTGTGTGTGTGTGTGTGTGTTTTCTTACCTTGATTCATGAACCAGAAAAGTAAAATAAACACACACACACACACACACACACACACACACACACACACACAGTTAGGTACGCCAGAAAATGATTTTGAAAACTTTGAGAAAAATATTGTCAACGTTAATTATTTTCGTTTTTTTATTTATTTCCTCAAAACCGCCGGATTTTTCCTCCACTAGAAAGACTTTTTTTTTACAATTTATTTCAAGTGAGTCGAATAAATTCACTGTTATAGGTATTATTTAAGTGGTAACTCCATAACATTTGCTGCTTCTGTTCACTGTTATCACTGTTCACTGTTATCACTGCTTCTGTTCACTGTTACTGCTTCTGTTCACTGTTATCACTGTTCACTGTTATCACTGTTCACTGTTATCACTGCTTCTGTACACTGTTATCTCTTTCTGTTCAATGTTATCACTGATTCTATTTGTTGTTATCACTGTTCACTGTTATCACTGTTTACTGTTATCACTGCTTTTGTTCACTGTTATCACTGTTTCTGTTTACTGTTATCACTGTCAACGTCTATATACATTTGACACCCTAGAACACTAATCTCTCTCCACCTAAGTATTTATTATATTGTTTGTTGGGGAAATACTCAATTATTTACTTGTTATTTTTCACTTTGATTTTAATTTCATTTCTCTGTCAATTTATTTTTTTGATGTGAATACTTTGTCCTGAACCAACTACCCTCTAGCATAGTTAACAACACTGTTTACCATAATGTTCTGTGGAAATCATTTTAACCCGACCTAACCTAACCTAAGCTAACCTAATCTAACCTAACCTAACCTAACCTAACCTAACCTAATCTAACCTAACATAACCTAACCTAATCTAACCTAACATAACCTAACCTAATCTAACCCAATAAGGTGAATCTCTTCGGCTCAGAATTATTTTACTATTTCCTGTATAAATTTTGTATCTGTTCTTGGGGTGATCGATGAGTTCCAATAATGAACACTATGACTCCTGTTGTCTCGGTAGGGTTGTCAAAATCCTTCGTCCGTTGTGTCAGATTTTTTCAACATAATTTGGTATAGATATTTGTTTTGAGTGACTTTACAGGTAATGTTTGTATTTTTTTTATCATTGTAGTTAGTAATATAATAAGTAATAGCTGGTATATTTAAGAATGTTTAAAATATTGGCCAAACAAAATTATTTCAGGTATAATTTTAACTCTTGTCTACTCTCCTTTTCTTATTCTTCTTCTTCCATATTCTTATTTTTCTCTGTCTCTCTCATTTAATTCCTCCTCCTTCTTCCCTTTTCCTTCCTTCCCCTTTCTCTCCACCCCTCCCTCTCCCTTTCCTCATCCCTCCCCTGCCTCTCCCCCCTCCCCATGTATCCCACACCCCTGGAGGTTACCACTGGGACTGTATCTTGAGTTGAGGAGCCCAGATGGTGTCCCAGGAGGCAGGAAAACACCCACACTTGTTGACGTATTCCATTACTTTTGGGGGAGATAACTCACTACACGGCGACACGGAAGAAACCTTTACAGCAAATAACGATGATTTAACGCTTTGACGACGATGATTTAACCCTTTGACGACGATGGTTTAACCCTTTGATGACGATGATTTAACCCTTTGATGACGATGATTTAACCCTTGATTTATGACGATGGTTTAACCCTTTGACGCTGGTTTAACCCTTTGATGACGATGGCTTAACCTTGACGACGATGGGTGGTGCGTGTGTATGTATGGCATATATGCAGAGTGTGTGTGTGTGTGTGTGTGTGTGTGTGTGTGTGTGTGTGTGTGTGTGTGTGTGTGTGTGTGTGTGTGTGTGTGTGTGTGGTTACTGGCTAGAGTATACAGCACACACACAGTAACATTACAGACAAAATAGCGTAAGAGGATTAAGAATGAAACTTAAAA